CCACCTCTTTAAATATTTATTCAACCCCCTAATCTTTGTTTTGGTATTTGTATCATTTGTTTCAATTACGTACTCAGTGATATAATGCTCTGCAGTGAGTACCATTAAATATTTTAAATCAAAGAGGACCCTGTAATTATTTCAGTGATAACTAGAAAACTCTGAAATAGGAAGACGACTTTTAGAATCAAGTTAAAACTTTAATAAGCACGAGACACAGCAATTGTCCAGTGTAAGTGCAGTTATATTTCTCTAAAAAGGCTTTTGAAAACATCATTGAAAATAGTGTTTCACCTTTTTCTCACAAAAATAAAAATCTCTCAAAATATGAATTTAATTTTTTCCCTTGCAAGAGAATAAAATAATGAATGAATAAAAAACATGTAATTTTCAATGAATATTTTTAATTGAATAGAATTGACTGAAGTAAAAAATAACACTTTAAAACAGCTGACCTATTTTTATGGTATTAAATTAGCGCTTTTTTGTGTGTCGGTGAAAATTTAAGTTTGAGTTAAATTCTTAACTATGCAGTGCATAATTACATGGTTTCCTTTATCCAAAGGAAAAAAAATGTTATGGTGATATCTTTTTTTGATTTAGAATTGAAAAATTGCTGGGTCATTTTTTTGTCTCTGTGCGGATGAAGGAAATTAGCCGTTTTCTAGAAAGCCTTGGCCGCAAGGTGTCGATTTAAAAAGTGTTCAATCCTATCTATTTCCTTCTTATTTTATCGTACGTTCTAAAGGAACCCACAATTTTAAAAAATAAGATATGTTCGAGACTTGTTCGCAGTCAAAGGTCTAAAGGGTACCGTAGTTAATCGGGAATGCAAATCTCAAAATTAGGCAGACAGTCCCTTTAACATTGGAAATAATGGATTTTCCCATTCTAGAAAATAGTTCTTCAATAATTTACTAATAAGTCCACGCAATGGCATTTTTCTGTGCGATTCGTTGCGCTAAATTTCGCGCAATGATTTTTTTGCGCATGTTGCGTTAAACAAATCGCACAATGAAGATTAAAAATGAAGATTGCGCAATAATAACTTTTTGTTTTGCTTATCATTGCGTTTATTGTAATTAACAATTCGCAATGAAATTCTAAATAATTCCATTTATTAGGAAAATTGAGGTTTTGCAACAAACTAAAATTTTCTAATTCCTATATTTTTGCAACCTAAAGGTGTAAACCTTTGATATTTCAAACTATAGACTATGTATATGATCTAGCAGAATTCATAGTTTGAACTAGCAAGATCGGGTTGCAAAGATAAAGGAATGAGAAAATCATAGTTTGTTGCAAAAACTCAGTTCCTTTGCATAAATTTATAACACTATATATTATGTTTAACCTATAACTTCCGTCATTAAGAAAAAATAGGAATTAAACATAAGATGTAATTTATTTAGAAAATAATGTGACTAGAAGTTTACTAAGGCATGAATGTTTTTTTAAAGAAAAAGTGTGTCCTAACTGAAATTATCCAAACTTTGTTTTTAAACATATCAATTTAGACAAGGATCCTTCACTGTACTCATCATATTCTTGTCCCACTTCCCGTCCCTTTCATTCTACTACTCCATTATTTATTTTATTTTCATACTTTCTTATTCTGTCAATACTATACCTCTCTGTATGTTTGTATTTCCTTCTCCTTCACACATATATAGCGAAAGGAAGCAACCATTGCGCATCGTTGCGCGCAATGCCATTGCGATTGGAAACCCTTCTCTTAACCCTTCTCTTTATAAACATAGGAATGTATTTAAATCACATTCTTGTTCTTGGCCTAGTTACATACAATCTACTTTAGTCGAAATTTAAACTCAACTTCAATTCTTAGGAAATCTTTTAAATTTTGGCATTATGGGGGGAGGGGTGAAGGGAAGGGGAGGGTGAAGGGGGAGGGGTGGAAGGTAACAACAGTTAAAAAGTCATGAAACAAATTTGTTGCATGTTTACCTCGACATATTTGTGTTGGAAAGATGAAAAGGTTAAAGCTGAGTTGAATAATTATATGGAAAGTTTCCCGACAGTAATTTTCAAAACTGTCAACTTTTATCTTTTCCATCGTTTTCCAATCTATTTTAAGAACTTCTTACATCCAGAACTTTTTAAAATCCCCAGTCTCCCATGTTTTTTTGGAATGGGGAAATTTTGGGTCAGACATGAAGGCATAAAATATAGATTGTAGATTGTAGATTGTAGATTGTAGATTGTAGATTGTAGATTGTAGATTGTAGATTGTAGATTGTAGATTGTAGATTGTAGATTGTAGAATGTAGATTGTAGATTGTAGATTGTAGATTGTAGAATGTAGAATGTAGAATGTAGAATGTAGATTGAATAGTAAAGAATGTTATTTCAATATTTAAAATCATAACACTCCACACAATCTTCACAAATAAATGATATGTGCACACATGCTTTTTCTACAATATATTATTCTTTTTATTAAGCACTAGACATTAGAAATTCTTTTCCACGAATTTGATGTTAACTGTTCTGTGCCCCTATACTGTACTCTGTACTTAATGACAAACTCATTTTTTAATATTTTTTATAATTCTTTAAAAAATAGACATTCCATATTTTAACCTGAATTTCCTGATTTCTCAGATTCCCTTGATTCCGTTGATTTCTCTAATTCCTTGGTTTCCTTGATTTCCTTGATTTCCTTGATCTTTCAATTTCCTGATTTTTTTTATTTCTTTGATTTCCTTGATTTCCTTGTTTTTTCTGATTTCCATGAGTTCCTTGATTTGCTTGGTTTGCTTGGTTTCCTGATTTCCTTGATTTCCTTGGTTTCCCGATTTCCTTGATTTCCTTGGTTTTTCTGATTTCCTTGAGTTCCTTGATTTGCTTGGTTTCTTTGGTTTCCTGATTTCCTTGATTTCCTTGGTTTCCTGATTTCCTTGATTTCCTTGATTTCCTTGGTTTCCTTGATTTCCTTGGTTTCTTTGGGTTTCTTGGCTTAATTGGTTTCCTTGGTGTTCCTTATTTCTCTCATCTGATTTATATGAGTTCCCTGGTTTCCACTAGTTCCATGATTTGTCGAGTTTCCTAATTTTTACATGTTCACTGAGTTTCCTGATTTCCATGAGTTCCAATCTTTTTTAAGTTCCTAAATTTCCAGGATTTCTTTTCCCTTTGATATCCTTGAATTCACTGAGGTCAAAGAGTTCCATGAGTTCCCCATGTTCTATGAAGTTTCATGTGTCCCCCATTTGCCATGATTTCCCGGATTTTCCTGTTTTTCCTGATTTTCCCGATTTCCCCGTTTTCCCTGATTTTCCTGATCTCCTTAATTTCCCTGATTTCCTGTACCAGGTCGGATCTTTAATCCCTTTAATCTTGATATTTTTATCTCTCTAACATGAGCCAAGGATTAAATTGTACTGATCAATCCTCTCAACCCTCATCTACAAAATACCCCCCCTCCCTCCCTCCCNTTGTTTGTTTTGTTTGTTTTGTTTGTTTTGTTTGTTTTGTTTGTTTTGTTTGTTTTGTTTGTTTTGTTTGTTTTGTTTGTTTTGTTTGTTTTGTTTGTTTTGTTTGTTTTGTTTGTTTTGTTTGTTTTGTTTGTTTTGTTTGTTTTGTTTGTTTTGTTTGTTTTGTTTGTTTTGTTTGTTTTGTTTGTTTTGTTTGTTTTGTTTGTTTTGTTTGTTTTGTTTGTTTTGTTTGTTTTGTTTGTTTTGTTTGTTTTGTTTGTTTTGTTTGTTTTGTTTGTTTTGTTTGTTTTGTTTGTTTTGTTTGTTTTGTTTGTTTTGTTTGTTTTGTTTGTTTGTTTTGTTTGTTTTAGTTTACTTTGTTTGTTTTGTTTACTTTGTTTGTTTTGTTTGCTTTGTTTGCTCTGTTTGCTCTGTTTGCTCTGTTTGCTCTGTTTGCTCTGTTTGCCATGTTTGCTCTGGTTGCTTTGTTTGCTTTGTTTGCTTTGTTTCAATGTTTGTTATCATGATTTATTTTTACGTTGTTTTTTTAACTGCTAAATATTCAATTTGCCAATCTTCTGTTCTCTCTCCAAACCCATTTTGCCCCACCCTTTCTCCCCATCCATTTCTCCCCATCCCTTTCTCCCCATCTTGGCATTCCCACCCTAATCCCTTTCTCCCCTCATACCCATCCCTTTCTCCGCATCCCCCCGTCCCTTTCTCCTTATCCTGGTATTCACCCACCCCTTTTTCCCCATCCTGGCATTCCCACCCTAATCCCTTTCTCCCCTCATACCCATCCCTTTCTCCTCATTCCCCATCCCTTTCTTACCATCACCCCTTTCTGTCACGGATAAATTCTCCTCCGATGTTCTTGTCATATTAGGCCAAAACGAATCTAATTGACCTACGAATACGGATAATCCTGTAGGCGGTCTGGGTTGCCCAAGATGGGGCTTCTTTCAGATCTCATCTCACATAATCACATAATCACTCCCAGAAAATGTATATTTTGCATTCAAAGTTTAGATGAGACTAGCTAAAGTTCAAATTTTTTTTCTCTCGATTTTTGAAGATTTTTTTTTATTACTCCCAGGGTAGCTTAAAAAATGCTACGTTTGGCCAGCTAATAGCTAACATTTAGATATAGAGCGAAAAGCTTTCCTGTATAGATGATCAGTCTTATACTAAGACAATTTTAATCTGGTTTGGAACTCTTAAAATTACGTTAACGGTCCCTTTAAATCTAGTGCTCTTTTAATCCCATTTCCTCCTTCCTCTCTCCTCCTAATTAATCTTTGATATAAATCATTAATTGAATAAGTGCTCATCCAACACAACCAATTTTACAGGGATTAATTCTTTTGGGATAAAATTTTTTTATTTTTTTGATATTAGATATTTTTATTGAGTTGAAATAATTAATTACTAAAACAAATAACAAGTTTTTTTAAAACATGTTTTGTAGTTATTCCACTAAACTAATTTGATGGTTTCTCGCAAAATGTAGATTTAATTTAGTTTTTATTATCTCCAAGGATTGTTTAAAAAAGAATCAGGAAGGGACTGTGTAGTGGGTAGATGTTGTATCTGATATCTTCATTTGTAACACTTAGTTATTCGTTTTTATTTAGCGAACTGCAGGAGAGGGGAGAAACAGAGGGTGTGGCGAGAGTAAAACGCCCCTCCTACGTAGGAATATCCAACTCACTGAACGGGTACACGCCCTACGCCCCGTACAGAACCGCCCAGGACTACGGGAGGAAGATAAGCCCGCCTTTACACTTCCCGCCGCAGCTCCCGCCGTCTTTAGATTCCGTATCTTTAGGTATTTAAAGCAACAGCACAAGCTAAAAATCAAATGATTATCAATGTTTTGGACAAAAGTGTCAATTTTTTGTTCGGATTTTAGACATAAAAAGATAAAATGTGATAATAAATTCAAAAATATTAAAAATTGAATGAGATTTAATAAAAAATTCCGCTAAAATTTAGGATGTAAATCTCCAGTATTTGTTATCAAATTATAACCTTAGAACTGTTATGACTTTAAAAATGCAAAGAATTGGGTTACATTTTATTTTTCGCAAACACGAAAACCATCTCAGGTTTAAACATACGGTCGGATCTTTTTTTCAATTACTGCGCTGGTAGGCGATTATATCAATACAATGAAGACGACTTTTTTATTTAAGCTTTTTTCAAATTAGAAGTTTACAAGTAATTAAAGAGAAGTTTTTTAATTGACAGCATCTCTTGACTTCTATGTTTATGTGTATACATGTTGTTTACATTATTTGTTTACAGTTCTGACCCAGGACGGGTTCCAGAAATCCCTTCAGGAGTTCCAGGAGACAATGCGAGATATCAATATGGGGAGACCAGAGGTACTCATTCAGTCAGTCAGTCATCATTCCTTTCATCCTTTAATTCATTCATCTTTTTATGCCTTCTTATTTGAAATTCATATTTTCATCCTTCATCTTTTTCAAAACTTTTTTTTTCATTATTTCATTCCTCCTTTCTGTCAAAAATCCTTTCTACTTTTTATTTACTCATCCTTCCAATATAGATAATCAATTACTCTATATAAATAATCAATTATTCCTTTATTTTGCTGTAGAATTAATTCAACCAGTGGACCACTCCCTGCCCCTTCACCTTCCTCCCCTTCTGCCCCCCCCCCCCCCACCCATCTCAATCTTCCTCTCCTTCCCCTACCCTTTTTTCCTGCTTCGACTTCGTTCTTCAAATACATATCTGAGAATTCCCCCACAGCCAGACAAGCCCCTTCTTAAATTCCCACACCCAGGCAAACCCCTTCTTGAAGATAATTTGATTAGAAATCATAAATCGTTCGAATTTAATTTATTGTACTTCTTCTGCAACTTGTCAAAAAGAATGAATTGTTAAAATCCTCTTTAAAGTTTCTGTCTATTGGGGGAGGGTATATAATCCTTTTTAAATTGGAATGATTTCCTAGAAAACAGTAACATGTTTCATATTTTGGCCAATTTGACCAATTTCGTCCTTGAGAGAGTCAACGATCAACGATCAACGATCATGAAGGGATCCAACATTAAAAAAGTGCCATTATTGATCATCCACAGGAACTTTCGGTCGTATTCTTAAGCGTCTCTGCTGATCAAATCAATAAATTGTCTTGAGGAAAAACGGCTGCCTAAGGTTATCAATTTTTAGACAGAAAACCGAGGATATTCAGACTTTTTATATTTAGAAGGTTTACAATCCAACGTTGTGAATCGCTTACGGTGTTTTCAATTTAGAGCGGGGATATTACTGACAATGGAAGCATAATGACAGGATCTGAAGAATTTTATCCCAGATCTCATATTAAACAAGTAAGTGGAATTCAGTTTGCTTCTTGGCTGTCTATTAAGATAAGATAAAGTGTATTGCTAAAACTATACATGTATCTGTGTACAGAACGAGTTTACAATTACAAATTGATGATTATATTAACAGTAAAAGTAGAAAGCAATTAGGTGGAAAATAGCTCTTGGCTGTTTTGATTATTTTTTCCACTCAATTTTAATAATGATAACAACACATTTCAAGTAATTAGATTTAAGGAGAACTATTGGAGATCAGGGTGCGATTTTATCTTATGAAAAATAGTTTATACATTAATTAGAATAACTAGAGTTTAAAGTAATTTTCTGACATGTTTACAACAAATATCAAAGCATAATAAAACATATCTAATTAGTTTTACATGAATAGCAATTCGGTTTATAACACATTGTAATGAAATTTTCAAAAAGAGAATTTAGTAGACTATTTTTAAATATACTAAAAGAGTTGCTTCTTTCTTTGTTGACAAGATTTGTTTGGCTTAAGCGCTTAATCTGTTACAAACATAGGAACTAAACAAAATGAATGGAAAAAGGAATTAAATTGTAAAATTCCTGGCAAGATTGTTAATAAATATTTTTTGTCAAGAATTTGTAAAAGGAAATTTTTTTATTTAAAAACTATATTTTGATTGGCAAATGGTTTAGGATTTTCTAATCACTATATCTTTGAAACCCAATGTCACAGAACTGAAATTTATCAAAATATGAATTTCATTTCATAAAATAATATAAGTTTGAAATATCAAAGGTTTGCACAATTTGGTTGCAAAGCTATACGAATTAGAAAATTTGAGTTCCTTTGTTCAATAATCAGATATGTAATCGATCCCAATTCCGCACCACACACTGTCTCTTGTAAAGAGTGTCTCAAAAAAAAGTTAAAATTCTCAAAACGATAAATTTTTTGTTCCTGCCAAAAAGTCGATTTTAAGTCAACTTTCAACTACGAGTTTAAATCGCCTTTTATTGTCGAGTTTAAGTCTATTTTTTAATATTTGGGATTAGACATTTTGTCTATTATTGGTTATTTGTACACCCTGTTAACTAAACAGAATATCATCTGTATACACGATGTATAGCATGCAAAGGTCCACAGGTAGACGAAGGATGGAAAATTGATTTTTATCCTGATCTAACCTTGATTCTACAAGCAGCAGTTCATTTATATACTAGGATACACAGGCCTTTCAGTAAGAGATGTATTTTATACAATTAAATATTCCACTAATACATAATAATTAGTCTTACATTAGACTCACTTGTTTAGAAAAGAGTAATGCCTAAGCCACTGGTTGAATTTAAAGTGACTGTTAAGTTTAATTTCAAGTAACCCTCCATGCAAAGAACAGTCTGATCAAGTATGAATTAGATATTCATGTTTTTGTTTCTTTAAACTGTTTATTTTTATTTGCGGGTTCTCTGCAAAAAAGACGCTGTAAGAAGCAATGGAGGAACTCGCAGATATAAATCACTTTTTGGGTCGGAAAAACGACGGTATCTTACACATTTTTGTTCAGATTAAGGTTTCAAGGGAACCTTTGTAAATCGGACATGGCCATCTTTGCTCGGAGGGTAACTTAAAATTACGCTTACAGTCCCTTTAAGGGATATAGAGGGGGATAAAATCTTCAATTTAAAATTATGAAAATCGTATAATATTTTATTCATTTATTAATCTTAGGTGATACAGAATGGTGATTCTAAATCTGTACACACACTCACCCAGTTCCATAGTTCACACAGTACACAGGCCAAACCAAACCTTGTTAGTAAACAAATAGAGCGACTGTACGGTTCAGATTCTCTGGCACAGGTTTGATACTTTTTTGTTTACCTTAAAAGTTTGAAAGAAATTGAATCTTTCCCACGAACTCAAAAACTCATAGCAACTTGATTATGTAAATTTCTTGGATATTTTAAACTTAGGTTAATTTTTCCAACTTAATTCATAGTTTGAAATATCTGAGGTCTACGATATTGGTGGAAAAAAAGGGATTTGAAAATCAGAGTTTTGGACCAAGGCTCAATTCCTTTACGCTCTCATGAAGAGAAAGAGAAATTATTATTTAAGATGAGAAGACAACGTAATTTTAAATAAGCATTCTTAACATAGTAACTTAAAACCTTTATTTGGAAAAGAATTGTGTAAAACTTACCTGATGTACGAACGATTTTGAGCGAAGGAATTAGAAGAAAAAAATTATCGGTTTTAACAGAACGAACTTTTTAATTGAACGAACTTCAGATAGAAAACGAACGAAATAATATGAAAAATGAAGGACAGAAAAAAAACACGAACTAAATGGTTCATTTACAAACCTTGAACGAACATATCTAAGACGAAAAAATTCAGTTATTTTAAAATACCTTTTTATTTTGTTATTGTTTAGATTCGTCTAACCAGCCCAGAGCCTCAGGATCGTTCTCCCGGCTCCATAAGGAGCCCAGCTAGAAATGGGAGCCCAGATTTTACCCCCCCGGAGAGAAAACTCTCTGGAGGATTTTTCTCTAAACGATTTGGGATTACAAAAATGAAGGTAATCCTTTTTTTATTCTTAATTTTGAAAAACATAATGAATATTATTAATCATTCAACATTTTAGTCATCAAATGGTTGGTTCAAAATTTCTCAATCAATGAGTTTTTAGTATCCTTAACATTAATTTTTCTTAATACTTGATTTATTTTCTCTAATGCTTGATTTTTTCCCCTGAATCCTTGATTTTTTTCCCCTGAATCCTTGATTTTTTCTCCATACTACTTGATTTATTTTCCCTAGAACTTGATTTATTTTTCCTAATACGTGATTTATTTTCCCTAATGCTTGATTTTTTTCCCCTAATATTTGATTTATTTTCCTTTAAACTTGATTTATTTTCCCTGATACTTGATTTATTTTCCTTAACTTGATTCATTTTCTCTAATACTTGATTTATTTTCCTTAACTTGATTCATTTTCTCTAATACTTGATTTATTTTCCTTATTGCATGATTTATTTTCCCTAATACTTGATTTATTTTCCTTAAAACTTGATTTATTTTCCCTTAATACTTGATTTATTTTCCTTAACTTGATTTATTTTACCTAATACTTGATTTTATTTTCTCCAATACTTGATTTATTTTACCGAATACTTGACTTTTAGTCAAAAGTCATAAATTCCTTGTATATATTTTTAATGCTTTATTTACATTCTACATTGTTCTGCTTGATAATCTGGAGTTCTATTTATAATTCTTGACTAATTTTTCCTTGTCTCAAAATTCTAAGAAGAAATATTTCTTATTTAAATCGATTCTGTTTTTGAATGAGAATTTCCTCCATTTCTAGGAGTTTGTTCATGTAAGAATGTTTTCTCAATGTTTACATCCCGAAAAACAGGTTTTTATGTAAACCATTATAGTGGACATATACTTTAGCGTGTACTTCACAATAAGTGCACGCTTGTTTCCTAATTTTCCTGATTATCTGAGTATTTAAACACTCAAGGCATCAATTTCTTGAATGTTTTTAATATAATATATACAGGGTGCTCCAATGAACGTGGGAAAGAAAGTATAAAAATGAGGCTGTACGTCTTAAAAATCTCAAGACCAGGCGTTTTCGATATTAGATGTGAAAACTGTAATTCTGCATTTATTCTGTTTATGAAATAATGCCGCTTGGGTCGAAGACGATATAAAAGTCGTCACTTAATTCCCATGTTTATTGGAACACCCTGTATCTTAAAAGATTCAGTCATGCCCTGAGTGTTTTATGTAAATGAGTGTTTCATTTCCTGTATTAAGATTGTTATGAGCACAATAATTTCACATACAAAATAAATTGATGTGGTGTCTTTAGGCATTAAAATTAATCTTAACAACGTTGAAATGTCCTCGCTAATTAACATTGTCCATTAATGTGTCATAAAAGTCCTGTTTTACATGAGAATATTCCATCAAGAATCGAACTGGTAATTACGGGATTTTATAAGTGAATGATTGTCGTTGAAATGAAATTTTTTTTTCAAATTTAGGAGTTGACTGATAAAAATGACTGTAGACTCGTAATTGCAAAAATAGGAATCATCTCATGAAAGAAATACAAAAATGTCCTTAAGTTCAAATCTGAAAATAAAAGTTGAAACCATAAATATTTTAGGATCATTCAACTTTACCAGCCGCTGAGAAACCGAAGGAAGTTAGACCATTAAAGGTAAGAATTGTTTTGAATACTGTGTCTCTTTTCTAGTTTTTCTCTCGCACCCTATAAATTTGTTTACGTACGCACGTGGATTCTGTAGAAATCATGAATAAGAGAAAATCTACCAAATTCTTAATTAAAACAATATTAATTTTTTACAAATAAAGTGCTTATCTTCTTCAACTCCAATTCCCTTATTAAATCCCCCATCTTGAGACAAAAAAGATATTGTTATTCATGATAAATATAATATTTTTTTACAAAAGTCGCAAAATTTGGTTGTATAAATCCGCAGTTTCTAAAAAATGTCAGTTTGATAATCTAGGTTTATTATTGTTGCTAAATTTAACTTTTCGGCTTAGTTAATCAAAATTTGAACAAGTAAGTATAAATAAAATTTATTACAAGTTAAGTGATAGAATCCTTATTTTTGTTAATGTTTCTGTTAAATAATGGTTCTTCCTAACAAAACTGAACTGTCAGTGTAACTGTGCAATGCATTTTATTACATAAAGATGAAACAAGAACAATGGTTTATAGCCAGGTGGGGGATATCTTGCAGTTTAGTTTTGTCAAAAGAATAATTTTGACTGAACTGTTGTGTAAGACTTCTCAGTTTTCAGTTCAAAAACTAGTATTTTCTAAAAAGATGCTTTCACCTCTAGTGGGAAGCCCTTCAATTTCTATACATTTGAAAGGAGTGTTCGCGAAAAATGAAATGAATACAAAATATTATGAAATATCATCTATTTACAAATGCGTCGAAAAATAATCGATGACTATTGTTTGTAATATCTGAATGATTTGTTTGGAATTAAATCGATATGTTTACGATCCGAATTGAATGTTGCATCTTTCTAAATTTTTATGAACACCACATTCGGTATTAGTCGTTTTTAACAATTTTCTCCTTATAGACGCAACAGATAGAAGTAAGATTAGTAGCAATCAAAAGCGCTTTTTTATCGCTTTCATTTTTTGATAACACTCCCTTAAAGCATCAGCTCATCTCAAAGAATTTATCTAATAATGGCAATACAATGGATGACGAGAAAACAATACACCCCTGAGTATTTATTAAACAAGTTTTGAAAATGATTGGTTCAGCAACAAGTATTTTCTATACAGGAGTAAACTGTAGTTGAAATGTTCAGGTATTGATGCCGGATGAACAAGGAAAGGAGAGAATAATCCCAATCCAGTTAGAATCCACTCCAACCTCCCCCACTAGTACACGACCCACATCCAGCCCTAAACCGTCATACTCAACCCCAGGTAGTAAATATACCACCAGCCCAGACACAACTCCAGTATCCAGAAGTTCAGAACGAATCATTCCCATCACCAGACTTTCCAATGGAGATCTTAACGGTCACACTCCGATAAATGGAACCAACGGGCACAGTAACGGAATTTCTCCGTCTGTCAACGGGTTCGGTTCCAAAGGGTTTGGAGTTTCCCGACGCTCTGTTCCAAATGTGATAGGATTCCGAGGTTTAAATGAGAAAGCCAGTGATAAAGACATCCCCGCCAAACCCTTGGTTATCCGTAAACTGAGTCCACTGAGCCCCAAGCATATAGTTGTTCCATCCAGCTCTAAACCTGCTCCGGCACCTAAACCCGAGTATTTGATGTCCCCTCCCATGTCCCCAGTTCCCTCTGAAGAGAACAGATCTCCAGCTCTCTCCAGAACTAATTCTCTTCCTCCAACATCACCTGGAGCATCATCTCCAGCTCGTTCATCTACTCCAGTCCCTTCATCCTCTCCATTACCTCCAGTATCCTCTACATCTCCTCTACCTGGAGTAGAGGCTGAGGCAAATGAGGAACCTCTTCCAGTAGCTGAAGATAATATTCCTGAGATGGAAAATCTTAGCCTTGGTGTAGAAGGGAAGAGAGAGGAAGAGCTAAAGCATATCGAGGCTGAGGCTAAGAACCCTGAGACAGAAGAAGAGTTCGAGGACGCTAGTCCTGAGGAGATGGAGGAGGTTTCGGAGAAAGATATGGACATCGAGAACTACAGAGATCAGGAGGTAGAGGAGGAGAAGTACCTAGAATACTACGGACTCAGGGATACATCAATATATTAACACTTAGATACACCCAGGGTACACATGGTTTTTTCTCAACAATAATGTCCGCCAATTTGGTTCATAACGAAAGTAAGTAAGTAAATATAGTTGTATATGTTCACAATTTACAATATATTATACAATATACAACCATGTGTCACACAAACGGCAACTTAAAAACCCCCAGTTTCAAGTTAGGTTAAGTATTAAACAATAAACTAAATGTCTTTTTTCAAGAGTTAATATCTTCAATCTACATATGAATAAAGTTCTTCACTCATATATATATAATATTCATATATTGATTAATATATCAATAACTGGTAATCCAACTTAAAGCTTATTTTCCTTTATGAATTTTGGATATCTTTCCAACACAACGTATTATTTCCTCGCAATGTAATTGTTTGCTCCAAAATAAGCATTAATCTTTAAAAAAATGGTTGCGCTTTGCTATAAAATTTTTTTATTTATATTTGTATATACAGGAAACCAATATTTTTGAAGGGGCTTTTTAAAAAGTGTATTAGCTGTAGTGGCACGTATTGCCTATGGGGAAAAAAATTAGATTTAAAAAAAAATTAGATTTTTGAAAGAAAGAAAATTCGAATTTTTAGAATATGTTGGTACTCAAGGCCCAAAGGTTCCTTTAAAAAAAATTCAGCCCATTCGGCCAAGCCGTTTGGCCAGCTATAGCTAACATATAAAAGAAATAAATATGAGCGAAGACTATATAGACTAGCTTGGGGATTCAGCCGTGTCTGGAAACTAAACTTTCGATATATAAGTAAATATATTCGATATATAAGATTCTTTGTACCGAGTTCCCCAATTAAAATATGTGACAAATCGGTAAAGACAAACAAACAAACAGACAAATAGAGATGGCTACTTTTTATATTAAGAATAGATTTTTTTATTGAAATTCAAAAGCTCATTCATTTATATTTTGGGGTCTCGTTTTTAGTCTTCCTCCTGGCCTTGACCTTGTGTCATTAAATTAATATTCTGCTTCCAACTTGTTTATGAAGAAAAAGGTTGTGCAGAAATACATTCAACTCATCCTGGTTCATCATTCTATACACTAAACACTTCAGTGTATAGTATACTGTGTACTGTATACTGTATAAACTATATACCATACTAGCTTGGGAACCCAGCAGTGCCGGAGTTGCTAAAAATTACTCCCGTCGTTAACCCGCACTTAAACGATTTTACCGGGAAACTAATTTTTGCTTTTAAAGTCGACCTACTCAATTTAGAATTTCAAAACCAAACTAAAAACATCACCGAGGTTCTCACAAGTTTCCAATCAAAATTTGAAACTAATTGGTCAAGGGGGTCCCGAGTTATGATTGGACAAACAAACAGACAACAGGGATTACGACTTAATATAAATTGATACTATATACAACCGGTGTACATTTTAATATTCGAGCTGGGCCAACCTATGCAGTCCTAGTTTGGACTGTACCGCCAATTTACAATTACTAAAGCGGCAGAGGATTGGGTTTACTGTTTACACCAGAACAAGTACAATTATAGAACTTAAACAAGAATGTAGCACAAAATTATTACTAGGATTTTAATCTCTTTATTTGTTTACTTTTTTTTATAAAATTTTAAATTAATTTGGGTGGAAAGGGAAGTTGGGAAATAATTATTAGTTAAAGAATTTGTAGATAAAAAAGTTTACTCCTGCATGGTTTCACTAGAAAGAAGAATTTTGATACATTTGTTTTCATTCGAGTTATTTCAATTTGGTTGTTTTGTCCTACACGCATTCAGTTTTTAGAGTGAAAATTGCCTTATCTAATTCCCTTGCCTATCTTAAAAACTATTTTGTCACTTGTTAATTTTTTTATTTGCCTGCAATATATTCCTGGATAGGACTAAACATGTTGTGGCAGCTCCTGGGTAAATCAAAATATTAACTTCTCGATTGTATGAAGCTCATGCCAGACAAATTAAATTTATTGTTTGTTGCATTTTCTGACATGGATAAATGCAGCAAATGTTGCGGTGAGGAACTACACACATCTTTTTCAACGGGCGTTTTTTGTTTAATAGTACACCCCCCCCCCCTCATTTTTACATGTTTTTAAGCGTCTTATTTTCAGAAAAACCGTTTAGGCAGTAGCACACTTTATGCCGAATAAGTTTGGTCAAAATAAGTAAGATTGGAGACCTGTAATGATTTAGTTTATGCACGATGCCTTGTTGGTTCTTTCACAAGAATTTGAATCAATTTATTTTATTTTGATACACAAGATTCCTAAAAGTTTAGTACATTTGTGTTGATACTAATTCTACAATGATGTAAGAAAATATATTTGTTCATCTTTATATTATGATTGATGGATGGTTAGGGAGCGTGAACTTCTCTGTCCTATACTTGAAGAGGATAATGAAAGCACGGCTTCAGGAAGTTTATGTAACTTGCAAAATAATTCAGGTAACCTTGACTAATTAGTTTATATCAAGATTGAATGGACTTCCTTTTAAACTCAGTTATCAAGTATACACTGTAAATTTTCTTTAGAGCACTAACTTACTCTTTAAACTCAGTTATCAAGCATACACTGTAAATTTTTTAAAGAGTACTAACTTACTCTTTAAACTCAGTTATCAAGTATACAATGCTGTAAATTTTCTATAGAGCACTAACTTACTCTTTAAACTCAGTTATCAAGTATACAGTGCTGTAAATTTTCCATAGAGCACTAACTTACTCTTTAAACTCAGTTATCAAGTATACACTGTAAATTTTCCATAGAGCACTAACTTACTCTTTAAACTCAGTTATCAAGTATACACTGTAAATTTTCCATAGAGCACTAACTTCCTCTTTAAACTCAGTTATCAAGTATACACTGTAAATTTTCTATAGAGCACTAACTTACTCTTTAAACTCAGTTATCAAGTATACACTGTAAATTTTCTATAGAGCACTAACTTACTCTTTAAACTCAGTTATCAAGTATACACTGTAAATTTTCTATAGAGCACTAACTTTCGCTTTAAACTCAGTTATCAATTATACAGTGCTGTAAATTTTCTATACAGCACTAACTTACGCTTTAAACTCAGTTATACATTGTAAATTTTCTATAGAGCACTAACTTACTCTTTAAACTCAGTTATCAAGTATACACTGTAAATTTTCTATAGAGCACTAACTTACTCTTTAAACTCAGTTATCAAGTATACACTGTAAATTTTCTAAAGAGCACTAACTTACTCTTTAAACTCAGTTATCAAGTATACAGTGCTGTAAATTTTCTATAGAGCACTAACTTACTCTTTAAACTTAGTTATCAAGTATACAGTGCTGTAAATTTTCTATAGAGCACTCTTAACTTTACTCTTTAAACTCAGTTATCAAGTGTGCACTGTAAATTTTAAAAAGTTTATCGTTAAAGCAAAACTTTCAAGATTAGTCCTGAAGCTAAACGACAGAAGGGATGGTATTTTGGTAACCAAGATGTAGATGAACAAAGTACGGCGAGTTGAAATACTCTTCTGGTTAGAGTACACTAGAGAAGAAGTTTAACTAAATCCTAGTTCACTAAATCCGACCCCGGGAACCAGATGTAATGCATAGTGAGACATGGGTCAACTAAGTTGAAGTGGTTTAACGTGGTTGAGCCATGTCGACTACCTATTTATTAAATCTGATACCGGTTCAGTTAAAAATGCCTTGTTTTTCTGTGCGCTTAGCCTGCCTTTACTTTTCGTTCACTCCATCAAAAGGCAACTTTTTTCATTCTTTTTACCCAAAAATTCATTGATTTTCTCTTAAATTTCAATAATGTTTCCCAATTCAGCAAATAAAACTCTAACTTCTGGGGGTAAAAAATTATTTTCAAATGGGAGGGGGGGCGGGGGGGGGATGATTTGTTAGAGAAAATATACACCCCTGCTTATTTATTCAGGAATATTTACCCCTGAAGATCAATTACTAGAGCAGGGAGAACACCATGATGGAGTACATTTTATTAAGGTAAATAAAACTAGATTATGTGTTTGTGTGGGAGATCTGGAAGTACCGCTCGAACTATTATAATTTTGCTAAATGATCAAATGGCGTCAGATGAGAAGAAATATTAATGGTTCAGATTAACACTGAAAGTACGGATAGTGATGTCCTTTAAAAGAGAAATTGGGGTCTTGTCCTGACTTATGGTTGAGTTCTAACATTTATTTTAACCTAAATAAGCAAGCTAATATTAAACAAGATATAATGAACTTTACCTCTTAGATAAAGCAGTGTGAACAAAATTATAAAAAAGAAAATGGATAGATGAATAGATACATTGGTATCCATGTTTTTCAAAATTAATTAAGATTTTTCTAAGATATTACTCCCACACCTTCTTCTTCCTGAATACACAGGCGTGTCTGTGTACAGTTTTACCACGCCCTAAACTTCATTTTAGTATTTATACAAGTTGAAGGTCTGCACTCAACAATTTTTAACATTTTACAAACTTTAAAAAATAAGTAATTTATCGATTTGTTATACAATTTCGGAAATAAAAGAACTAATTCTGAATCTAAGTTTAGGAATATTTTGTAAAAAGAGATTTTGTTCAATGTTAGATATTCTCAGTTCTATGACACTCAATCTATCAGTTAGTCGAGTTCCGCCCTAACATTTGGACAAATTTACCTTTTTTAAAATATAAAATAAATTTTCCCCAATTGTACAGGTCGTATAAGTTTACGTGGAGATGCTGGAAATATCATAATACTTTTTTCGCTTATTTTATCTTTAAGGAAAATAAATAATAAATGAATAAAACAGTTTTTGGGGAAAATATCTAAAAAAGGGAGGAAAAGGGTTGCAACATGAAGTTTCAAATTGAAGCGCAAACTTTTTAAATTATAAACACCCTGTTTAAAGGAGATATGCTACGCTGTTCTTAAAATATTGGTTTGGCATCATTTGATTTGTAATGTCCAAATAAAACGTTGAATTGGTTTAATTGGCTCTGATTTTGCTTTTAAGGAGGATTTTTGGACGATGATTCGTTTTTCTTGAGTTTTCTTATTGTTTTAATCTATTCTTAATCAAAATTTAAGGGCTAGAAGGTGCCTGCTCTCTTTTCTTGTGCTCCAGGAACGACCCCCCAATTTTTCAGGGATACGCCCCCTCCCCATAATCCGCCTCTGTTTGTGATATACAATATATTTATATTTATTGCATTAAAGTAGATTATATAGTTTGATGCAGGAAGTATAAAGAATATTCCATGTAAGGAGTTTGCAATATATGCTCCCACACATTTATTCTTACTTCGGGGTCAGGGGACCAGTTTTTATACAACAGGGCCTGTATAAGCCTTAACAAGTTCTATGCTTTTAAGATAGTTTAGTTTTCACCCCTCTTATATGAAAAAAGAAATTATGGGTGCCCCCCCCTCCTTCCGCCTGCCTTTTTGATAAACTTCTACCAAATATGGTTTGTTAGAGGTTAATAATGTGATTTGTATTGGATGCACTTTCTAGAACCAAGGTCTAGCTAACTATGTACACTGTACAGTGTACACCGAGGGAGGGAACCCCCGGACACCAAGAGCTTACTCTATGCAGACACGAGCCAATCAGATTTGCTAGTCAGACCGAGCCTCCACCATGCAGTTAGAGCCTCCCTCCGCTATACAGAAAATTTCATGTTGATTTTTACATGTAGTAAAAAAAAATTTGTATTTTTTTTAAATAGTGGTGTAAAAAGTTTTAAAAAGATCAGAAATATTAATCAATTATTATACAAAGTGCCTATAAATTATGACTAATAAAGTGGTTTATAAAACTTCAAACCGTTATTACGCAAAAAGGAAAACATTTATTTGATATTTTATAATATTTAATTTAAGCGATACTTTTTAAAAATATTTTATCAGATTAAAATAACCAAAAATTTGACATTGGCAAATAATCTGAGTCTAAAAAATTTAAAAAAATGTATTGCTTATATCAAAGATTAAAAGTAAAAACTAAGTTCAATTCAAAAATGAATTTCCAAATAGCCTCCTTACTACGTAAGAAATGTTTTATTGTAAAGCACAAATGAGTCAATATAAGTTACAAATCATGTAAATCAATAAACAACATTTATCTTAAGTAAAATTCTTGTGCCCCTATTTTGAAAAAAATGAAAAAGTTCTATATTAAATGTAAAAACCAAGAGTTATAAAGAAGCTGTTATGTATAGCGGAGGCTCGGTCTGCCTAGCAAATCTGGGAGACTTGTGTCTGCATGGCGGAGGCTCATGGCGTCGGGGGGTTCCCTCCCTCGTACAGCACTGTATATTGTATAATACTATTTTCATGAACTATCATTTTTTAAATATTTGAAGAATAGAAATATCGTTCTAATTGACAGGAGGAACAGATTTCTAACTATTTTCAGGAAATATGTCAAACTATTTGTTTAAATTTATTTTAAACTTGAAGTACTAAAGTAGGGAAGATGGGGGAGGGGATAAAGGTATTGTTAAAAAATTCTACCCCGGGGGGGGGGGGGAGGTTTTTAATTTCCAAGCTAAGGTTCTTTTCTGGTTTGAAAATATAAGGCCAATTATTCAGTCGAGTTAACTGGGTATTATCCTGGGTAAATTGGAATTTACTCTAGTTGCAATTTCTTGGACCTAAAACACCCTGGGTTACGATCGACTCTAAGAGTAAAATTACCCAGAGTACAGGAAACTCGTGGTTGACGCTGAGTTTTACCCAGGGTTATTAGATTTACCCAGCTTACAATGCGCTAACAGAGACCAGAAAACAAATAAAAGATAATTGCATAGTTAAGAAAAGTAAAAAAATATAGTTAAGATGTAATATAGCAAAATAATATCACTTTTTAGAAAACTTTAAGAAATTGGACTATAAACATTTTCCTATTGATGTAAGCTGAATATAAATAGATTTATATTTATAGTTCTTAATTCTATCTTTCTCAACTTTGTTCTTAGAAAGTTATTTTAGAGTTTAATTAAAAATAGATTTATCAAGAATAAATTCTTCTTTATTTATTTTTACATTTACGCAGTTTATTCTGGTTTAAGTGTGAATTCAATGATTTTATGTCGCAACAAAGACTCCTTCTTTGGTCGGGGAGAGGGGGGAGGTATTTTTTATTTATATAAGTTACATTAGATGTTTTTTTATTTTAATTTTAATTGTTCAGGTGTTGGAGAATGAAATGTTTAAGTTTGAAGAACAGATTTGTGATTTTGAAGAGGAGTTGTCGATAAGCTGTGATATTCCAGAGGAGTGCAGGGAGAATATACTCTCTACTGTAGGTAATAATAATATTAATACTCCCCACTAAAACCCCTTATTTCTTCGATCAGTGTGCTGCGAACCACTGCAGTACACACCGAAAGCTTAGTTTAGGGTTATAATGATAACTAAACAAACAGAATTTAGTACTTTATATATATAGGCTATGAAGTAAATATTTAATTTATTGAATAAGTTCTAATTTGTTAAATAATATTCTTATTGATTGAATAATATTCAATGATTCTATGGGGTCACTGGCCTAGACCTCGATGTCTCGATCACACTAGAGTTATGTCATAATCGGATATACATTAATTTCCACCCTTTGGTGGTTATTTTTGATGGGGTCTCGGCCTTGATTTCCACGGAATGATGGTTGATCTTTTATTTATTTTATTTATTTATGGGGTTGGGGTAGCCAGTGTGTAACGACAGTTCTCGTTCACTGAAGTTAAGGACACTTTCAGTAACTGGATTGGTGTCCAGACTGGTGTTCACGGGTTCGTTTCCCGTACTCCACACAAACCTAATTCTTTCGAATTTATTAAATTATGATTTATTAAATTATAATTAAACAAATAATACGTTTTTAAATAAATTATATTCTAATCGATTAAATAATATCTTTATTGATGGACATGTTTAGGTTTGGCTAAACTTCTGATGGCGCAGAAGCTAGCGCAGTTCCGTGGATTATGTGATAAAAATATTGTAAGTAATTATTTTGGAAAAATATTTGAAAATTGTATAGATGAAAAGAAATTCTTTTCTAGAATTTAATCTTTCAGATTTCTTTTATAACTTATGCAACACAGTTTTGTTGACTTGTAAAGTCACTATAATAAAATAAAGAGATCTAAAATGGATATTTCTAACATTTATTTAAACGAAAGTGTTTTGAAATATTTGCATTTAAGGCGGAGTTAAAATTGGTTGATTTAGAAATTAACAAAGGAATTATGGATGGATATTTGATGGTACTTCATGGGAGTGTTGTAGAGCTTCATGTTGGTGGAGCAGATCATCAGGAACTGGGGCAACAGGGCTTATCCAACCTAGTAGGCAGAGATCGCGGCTTTATCATGCTGGATTTGAGCGATTATGTAGTCTCTGGAAGTGGAGTGCATGATAAACTGGGAACCCTCGGGTAAGCCTGTCTGCTGCTAATTGAGTATCTGCGTCATCATCATAAAGGAGTCAAGAGGCTCCCTGTGTCGGAGCTGTTACTAGTTCAACTGTCCTAACATGACTGAATACCGGGAGGGAGCTGGGATGAGCGGAGATTCGACATGTGGGCACTACATGAGGAGGAAATGGATTTGAGTACACATACATCTAGAGAAAAGGCTGGGGCATTTGAGTCAGAAAAATCGTCTTCCTTATATTTCGAATTAATTTTAACAAGTTTGTAATAAGAAATAATTTATTTATTTTTATATCTTTTAATTTGTGTGTCGTTTATAAACAGATTTATTCTGCAATTAGATTGTATTGACTATCTGAATATTCAGCATGTGAGTAAAGAAGAGGATCCGTTTGTTCCTACCAACCAGGATCTAGCAGGATTCTGGGATATGGTTCATATTCAGGTTTATTATTATTCTTTTACAGTTTTAATTTCAAATTGAGAAAAGTTATTCTATGTAACTAAGCTCTTATATGTACAAATATATATATATTTTTATATATTTTTTTATGTATCTTATCAGTTGAAACGCAACAATCTTCTTATAACATTTTATTCATAAACAAATTTTTTTTTATATAATGTATATATGTTAGCTATAGCTTTAGCTGGCAAAACGGCTGGACCGAATGGGCTGAACATTTTTCAGGACACCCGACTTTGGGTTCCCGGGGGTAACATAGGCTAAACATTTTTTTTTTCAAAATTCGATCAAAAATCCGATTTTTTTTTTAAAAATCGATTTTTTTTTCTGCAGGCAACGCCTGGCACTTTAGCCAAATCTCTATATTCATATTCTCAAACTCCAATAATAAAGCACAAAAATAATTTATTAAAAAATCTTTTGCAGTTTAGAAAAAATATAAAATTCTTAAACTTGAAGATTATTATCTAATAAATGATTAATTGCTTGATTGATCTAGATCGAGCAAGTGCATGGTAAATTTGCAGATCTACAGAAACTGCGAGCTGAAGGATGGGTTATTAAGGTAATAATTTATAAGTCCACGAAAGCATACAACTTGACTGACAATTCATACATTATTTTAATTATCACAAAGTTCGTATTCAGAAACTCATTTTATGCTTATAACAACTTTTTACTTTTAAACAATCAAAGGCGTAAGGGGGGGTGTACTCCCCCCCCCTCGTAAAACCCTGAACATTTTCATGTCGCTCCGCTCTAACAATCATAACGTCTGTAAAAAACATATTTTTGGTAATCAAAAAAGAAAAGAAAAATTTGACATCAAAAGGCAAGTTTTTCATCATTCTTTATTCTTTTACCCAAAAATTCAGCAATTAAACCCTTAAATATTGATTTAATATTCCGCGCAAACAACCCTAACTTTATATCAAAACGCATGTTTTTCCTGTCATTATAATTCATACCAAAATATCCAGCAAAAAAAACCCTACACATATTTTGCTGTTCCGCGCTAACATTAGTTTTGAAAAAGGGAAAGATTTTTCAAGAAAGGAACTACTTTTTTACCATAAACTTAAATTTTCTAATCCCTGTTTCTTTGAAACCTGATGGTGTAAACCGTATTTCAAACTTTGGTTTTGTCATAGTTCATAGAATTCATAGTTTGAAAGATCAAATATCTATGACAGCAGGTTGCACAGATATAGGGATTATAATTTTAGGATTTTTGGCAAAATCTCATTTCCTTTGCCTGAAATATAATCATTAAATATATGTTCTAAACCAAGCAAAGCCCAAGGATAATATAATGTTTTTAAGGGGGGGTTGAGCACAAAATCTTTTNCCCCCCCTGCAGTAAAGCTCTAGTACGTCCGTGGTTAAGACAACTACGTTTAGCGACATGAGTAATGGGCATTCAAAGCAGAACAATTTCAGTCATATTTATCAATTTAATTGAATAAATTTCAAGGTTTTTAAATTAATAAATTAAGGTAATTGAAATTTAAACTAAAATATAGGTAAGGTTGATTCTACTTTTCTTCTATTTTTTTTTCTCTAAACTCAAGATTAATGTTTCCTTCAGGAATGTTTAAATGAAAATGTTCAATCTAGAGAATTTCTTTTCAAAAAAGGAAATTTATAATTGAAAATTAATTTCAATCAAACCCTCACGACCTTTATTGTACTCGTTAGAGAGGGGTTTAATTGGTTTACTTGGTTTATAAATGTTTTATATGGTCCTCGGCCCAAAGAATTGCAAAAATTTGAATACTGAAATACTATTAAAATAATTTTGTACAATTTTGTAATTATCGTTTATGAAAACATTATAAAAAATTTTAAAACAAAGTTGGCTCTACAGTAGTTCAGCCATTTGTCAAGTTTATTTTTGAAAATGCTGAAGCTTTCAGAACTGTTTATTTCACTTGGAATATCATTCCACGTGCATCTTACAATGAAAAAGTTTTTTATTTTCTCTAGATATATAATCTGAGTTGAACCATTTGTTTTTATCATGTCAGATAAATTAAACAAACGGATAAGTATTTGAACGGTTCACTGTTTCAGGTTCCTGAAGTAAAGAAAGCGGTGAAGAAAGGAGTGAATAAAAAAGTAAATAAACCTATTAAACCTAAAGAGAAGAGTGAAGCAGCTTTAGCACGTGATCTTGCCAGGTAATCAAAAAAGAAATTAATCTTTGAAACTTTTTCAAAAATAATGAAATTAGTTTTAATGAGAAACAACTAGGTTTCATAATTAACAAAATAGTTTGTAAACAAGTATTTATTTCAGGAAGAAAATGATGGAAGCAAGGAAGAAGGCAATGAAGATGAATCAAGATGAATCTGATTTGATCATCATCATGTAGATTAGTGACCAATATAAAAGCGTCATCAATACTTCTACAATTCAATTATATATTTATGTACAGTGTGTATGTCATATTACGTACATATTAGTGATAATGGATTAACGCTGACTTCTAGTGCATATTGATTATTGATAGTGATGCAAAAACTAGAGCTAATCTAAAAATATATCACAGATATATCAAGTGACCGGAGCCATTTAAAGGGATATTTCATTTTGATAAATTTCTTGACTTCTCCAACTGATGACGCATAAATGATCCATCTTGGTAGTGCCTGAATAAATTATTACTAGAGACATCTAGTGGTATCCTTAGTATCATCTCTAGTGAATTCCCTGGTATGGTACTAGAGACATCTAGTGGTATTCTTATTATCATCTAAAGTGAATTCCCTGGTATGGTACTAGAGACATCTAGTGGTATTCTTATTATCATCTATAGTGAATTCCCTGGTATGGTACTAGAGACATCTAGTGGTATTCTTATTATCATCTAAAGTGAATTCCCTGGTATGGTACTAGAGACATTTAGTGGTATTCTTATTATCTTCTATAGTGAATTCCCTAGTATGGTACTAGAGACATCTAGTGGTATTCTTATTATCATCCATAGTGAATTCCCTGGTATGGTAATAGAGACATCGAGTGGTATTCTTATTATCATCTTTAGTGAATTCCCTAGTATGGTACTAGAAACATCTAGTGGTATCTTGTCATTTAAGATAATTGTGAGTCGACTACTGGTGGTGAATCAGTCTTCTATCTTTTACAATCCTTACAGTAATTACAAGAATCTGAATATCAGAGAACAATCACAAAAAAAGGCAGTGCTATAAGTTCAACTGACAGAAGCATAAAGTGGTATGCATGATTATTATATATAAATCAATCACAGAAGTATTCTGCATAACCTGTATTATCTAATGGTACGAAGAACCCTATTATTTTTGTACCTGAACTGACGTCACTGCAAAGTGCATAGTGCATGTACTGTGTTATAAACTTGTTAAACCTATGGATGAATTGTTAGTAAGTGCTATCTAAGAAACTGAATTAATGATAACATAACTCTCTAATATTAAAACAATTTGCGAGTAAAGATCTGAAATGGCAAAATTTCTAGTTTTATCGATTAAATTAAACTTGTTAACTTGTTTATTTCTATGTACAGTGTCAAACTGCATAGTTCAAAGTTGAGACTACGGATCAAGTATTGTACAAAATTAACCAAACAAAACATTAACAATGTATGTACTGTACAGTGTACAATGATGACAAATTTGCACGTACATTGAACTAATACATAATAAAAGACCTTAACCGTGGAGTTATTAGAAATACAAAGTCATCATCATTATACCTTGATTGTGGTATTTCTGCGTACATCTGCACTCCATCTTATTATTGTACTCAATAACCCAATATTTTTAGTATTTGTGATTTCCTCTATTTTATACCTTTTTGGCCTTAACCAAGTATTATTTATAATAAATTCATTTTCTTAATATACCCCTCCCCTTCCATGCCCCCCGGCCCCCTCCCTGATGGAATTAAATGGATTCCTCTTAAAGTTAATTATTCAAGTTAAATCATATTTGGTTCTCAGCCAGTAATCGTTCTTGTATTAAAATTTGGCTCATTTATATCTCTTCATTCAATCCTAACTATCAGAAGATTTTATCTATCTCTGTAATATTGATCAATTTTCTGTTTTTTACATTTAGAAAAATTCCAGTTTTTGTTTAATGTTTTTCTCTCAATTCCTAGAAACCAAGAGCACAGTTGTGAAACTTGATTATGAGCTTTTACCGTAAAACTTTCTAGGTTATTCTAGACTTGTTAAATCTACAGTACTCCCCCCTCCCGTCCTGCGGTATCCAAGACTTGTTAAATCTACAGTATCCCCCTCCCATCCATAGTTATTCTAGACTTGTTAAATCTACAGTACCCCCCCAATAGTTTAGTTTTCACCCCTCTTATATGAAAAAAGAAATTATGGGTGCCCCCCCCTCCTTCCGCCTGCCTTTTTGATAAACTTCTACCAAATATGACTTAATAGTGCCTGCCCTAGCATGCATATATTCACATATACTCAATAAATTTAAATGTATTATAAGATGTGAAAAAGAATAAAAACTAACATTATTAATTATGGAAAATGATATTGGTGAGCTAAGAGAATTAATTAAGAAGTTAAAATTGTTAATACATTCTTAGAGAATGTTTGAATCAGGCCCATTGCTGTATTTTTCACATACAGCATGAATGGTGCTCACATTTATTCCATTAAGAAGTTTTAAATCGTGGACTGGAACTGGGTTATTGGGACAAAAAAGCCTGGCCAATTCACATCGGTACCGTTAAAAACCTAGATCAGATTAATAATATAGAAGTTTTAAGTGTTAAATACTGCTAATTTCTACACTGTATTTGAAACAAAAAATTCAGAGTTACGCGCAAGTCGCGTTGAACTACAAACCAGAGAGGGAGAGCATGCATGTAGGTTATGGTGAACGAAAAACCCCTTAAAATTGAAAAGACGACATCTTGATTATAGTTTACTAGAAATTCAAGGCGCTTTGCGCCCTTCTTTCTAGGTTTTTAGGGCGCTTCGTGCCCATCTTCTATTTAAATTGTGAACACGTTCTTTTTGTTAACATTTTAAAACAAAGTAAAAAAAAATTTTGCGGATTAAAAAAAAAAAAAATTTTACAAAATTAAAAACCTTTTAAAACACATTTTTTTAAATTTTTATCATTCATAAACCTTCCCTGGGATAGTGCGAGGTGCCACAAATAATTTGGGCCCGATCAGTTCAGCCTTTTTGACGTTTATTGGATACAAACAGACAAGCCAAATTTATATATACATAGATTTGTAATGTTATTAATCTATGATTAAAATGAACATTTATTTCTTGTTCCATTTCTCAAATTTTTTTAAATCCAACTCGATACAACTAAATTCAGAGGTGTAGCTAGAATCTTGGGGATATAAGAAATGCATCACCTTCTATAAACTTCAGATAAGTTATATTAAAATTCTATTATTCATATGCACGTGGAGGGGGGGGGGGGGGGGCAGTTCTCTCTCAGCAACCCAGGCCTCCTTTGGGATTTTTTTTTTTTTTGGGGGGGGGGAAAAAAATTTGCTTGCTTCGCCTCTTTGAAATCCTTAGCTACGCCCCTAAACTGAATTATCTCTTGATTATGAAAAACCAGCAATTTTTTTCTTTTCAAAAAAAATAACAATATATATACTTAAAATACTAGAAACTTCATTGTTATTTCGACAAAAAAAAAAACAATGGAAGAACTCTAAATAAGTTCTTTACGTCTATGTAGTTTATAATGTTTAAAGATTTTCTGCTTAACACCTGTAATCAGGTACAGAAGTATTCAGTCGGTGTCTACAGTGCTCCCCACAAAGGATGAGACTTGAAACTCTTCAAATATGACGATCCCAAGTTTAATTCTTCTGCCTTAAATATGGTATTTTAATGGCTCATTTAATGAGCTGGCAAAGAACGAATGAGATCATAGTTGCAAGGAAGCATACATATCAGGAAACAGTATATTCTGTACAGTCGTCTCTGAAGTCTAATCCTTTATAGGTAGCCCTGTAGAGGTTAGATACAATTAAGAAGTGGATTTCTTTTTAAAGATTAAATACATTTTTAACGGAAGGCATATTAATTATATCAATTATATACTCAAAAGTGAAAATTATGAACATTACTTTAAGTCCTTGACCGCGACTGTATAGTTATATAAGTTCATTTGTTATTTTATCTTGATATCCCTTTAGGTTAAATATTACATATCGAGATTATTTTCCCCCCCGTTTTTTCAAGTCTCATGTCATGGGGTCTCAAATGAAAATCTAAGGTCTCTGATAATAATCTATGTCTCTAATGAAAATTTAAGGGTCTTCAAGCAATCAACTATCATTCGTAGAAGTCAAGGCTAAGACTTCTACGAAACAATGGCTATTAATGTATACCAATTGGTGACACACTGTATAGTGCGGCCAACTGCCGAAGTACAGACCAATTACACATCTCGGGTCTCTAAGAAATATCTGGGAGTCCCCGATGCGGTGGAAGTTGGTGTCTCCGATGGTACTCCAATGATGATGATTTCTTCACAGGCTAAATTTTATCAACAAATCTTTATTATACTTTTCCTTTTGACATTTGGTCAAATTCAAATTAAACTCTTCAAAATCTTAAGTAAAGGAAATTTTTACCGTCGCGTTATTTAGAAATGACAGCTGAATCCATGGAATAGGAATAAGGGGAAGGGAACTAGCGATGGTCTGGCATGAGAAAGCCAGTCGCACTGTTTTGCAGACAAGTTCGGGAACCTTACACACACTCTTTTGGTACAGACAAACAACATGACTACAGTCAAGGGAATTGCAGAACAATGTTGCCAATTATAATTAAGCTTGAATAACGACTAGTTTATTGTAAACTTTAATCAAGTTATATTCTTTGCATGAACATTTGGCTTTATAGTGTTGACTTAAATATGTAAATAATATATTACATGTATATTAAACTTATTTCTAAGTAAACAATTAACAATAAACAAATGTACTCTCCTAGACTGTACAAGCACCGAGATTCGCATGCACTGTATATACCTACAGTACAAACCTTCGGTTCGGTAAACCTTACACGTACACTCTTTTGGTACAGACACGCACACATGACGTTTCCGCCCCATGGCTAAAATTGAAAACCTAATCATAAACATTATGTTTAAGAATATAAACAAATATAAAATTAAATTCCAAATATTTTTCAGAAAAAATATTCTCTAAAATGAAAATATTTTTTCGCCGAGGAGTTGTGCAGGGACCAGCTGTATTCAAACTGTTCACAGGAATTTTATAAATCAATATATTGAAAAAATATTCTTTCAGGAAGAAATCTATGTTTTCTAAATCCAATTTAAGAAATATTTATCTAAATCAGTTTAGGACTACAGTGTCTTTAATAGGGCTATACAGGGTGTCCCACATCATATTAGATCGTTTATAGCTTTAAATTGAGGTTTAAGGGACTAATGATAAAAGTTAAACAAAAGAATCATTTAAAGAAATGCATCAGGTTAAAATAAATATTTTCATGCAGAAAATACTAGTTTTTTCGAGTATTACGTACACATTTTGGTGTTAAAGCTTCGAGATAATGATATGGGACACTCTGTTGGTGTAATTTCAATTGACACTCTATTTAATTGAGAGGCATGTCCAATTGACAACGGCGCCGCATCAAACCTTTCTCTGACCAAGGATTCATGAAGTTTCGTTGTTATATTATTCAAATAAAAAATATTTAAAATTTATATTACCCCCTGACAGGTGTAACAGTGTTTTATTTACTCTACAGGTAAATATAGGAAAGGGATTGTTCCTGTATATTTACACATGACCCTCCATTACAAAAGGTAAATTCACAATTGACATCAAGACATTCTTCAGCTTTAATTAGAGTAAAAATGACGGAGATATTTTTTTCTTTTTCAAATGCAGTCTCTTTTATACTTGCAAGAAGAAATTTGACAATATTTATTTCTTTTAAAGACCATTTTATCTTACTTAATATTAAGGTTTTAAATCGAGCTTCTTTACAAACAAAATTATTTAACCCTTATAGAAAATATATATGTAAAGAAAACCTTTTTAGTTCCCACAAAAAATCCGCGTTAAAGCAAGCAAAGGTGTTGATGCTGGAAAAGGAAATTAGGTATTAATTGAATGTTGGAGGAAAAGGGAAGAAGGTAATTGGTTTTTAACTTTATATATGAAGTATAAATGCATTAATAATTATTATACAACATTATATATGTACTAAAGGGATTAATAACTATTTAACAACGTTATATGAAGTAAAATGATTAATAATTATTATACAACGTTATATGCATTACAGGGATTAATAATTATTATACAACATCATATGTATTACAGGGATTAATAATTATTATTCAACATTATATGAATGCATTACAGGGATTAATAATTATTATTCAACATTATATGCATTACAGGGATTATCAATTATTACACAACGTTGCATGCATTACTGGGATTAATAACTATAATTATACAACATTATATATGGACTAAAGGGATTAATAACTATTTAACAACGTTATATGAAGTAAAATGATTAATAATTATTATACAACGTTATATGCATTACAGGGATTAATAACTATTATACAACGTTAAATGCATTACAGGGATTAATAATCATTATACAACGTTATATGCATTACAGGGATTAATAACTATTATACAACATTATACATGGACTAAAGGGATTAATAACTATTTAACAACGTTATATGAAGTAAAATGATTTATAATTACTTTACAACGTTATATGAAGTAAAATGATTAATAATTATTATACAACGTTATATGCATTACAGGGATTAATAATCATTTTACAACGTTATATGCATTACAGGGATTAATAACTATTACACAACGTTATATGCATTACAGGGATTAATCATTATTATTCAACATTATTGCATTACAGGGATTAATAATTATTTTACAACATTATATTCATTACAGGGATTAATAATTATTATACAACATTATATGCATTACAGAGATTAATAATTATTATACAATATTATATGCATTACAGGGATTAATAATTATTATGCAACATCATTTGCATAACTGAGATTAATAATTATTATTCAACGTTATATGCATTACAGGGATTAATAATTATTATTCAACGTTATATACATTACAGGGATTAATAATTATTATTCAATATTATATGCATTACAGGGATTAATAATTATTATACAACGTTATATGCATTACAGGGATTAATAATTATTATACAACGTTATATGCATTACAGGGATTAATAATTATTATACAACGTTATATGAAGTAAAATGATTAATAATTATTATTCAACGTTATATGCATTACAGGGATTAATAATTATTATACAACGTTATATGCATTACAGGGATTAATAATTATTATTCAACGTTATATGCATTACAGGGATTAATAATTATTATTCAATATTATATGCGTTACAGGGATTAATAATTATTATTCAACGTTATATAAATTAAAATGATTAGTAATTACTTTACAACGTTATATGTACATCTTCTGTATCTTATCAGACAGGATTACCACAAAGGATGAGACTGTAAAGACGACTTCAAATTAATATAAGAGGACAATCAAAAGACCATATTTTGCCTTGAATATGGTCTTTTGAAGGCTTATTCAATGATTTGGCAGGAAAATAAAACTAGTTTTCGTTGCTGAGAACCGTCAATATGATAACAGACAGTATAAATGTCTTACATTTGTTTCTGGAGTCTCATTCTTTAAAGTAGCCTGTATATAAATATGTTCGTTAAGGCTAGTCAAACGGCCATGGGTCAAATCGGCTGATTTTATTATTATTAGGGTGATAATGGCTGAAAATTCATATTTTTTAAATCAGGGCAAAGCCGGGTTATCCTTATGGCCAGAACAGAGCATTATGTACTGTATTTTCGCTTTTCAGTGATGAGGAAGAAATCAGGAACATAAGTGAAGAACTCAGTATTATCAAGGTGAAAACTCAATTTATTTCCTCATTCTTTCTTGACAGAGCTATTTTTCGAACAGATTTTAAAAAACTTAACAACATCCCTATTTTTCTAGTTTTCTGGCCCAATTTTACGTATTTTTCATTAAAATTTTATCAATTTGAATTTTTGAAAGTAACAGTTGCAAGGAATCGCCCTGTATTTCTACATTACATTTCACAATATAATATACAAAATGATTGTGAAAACTGAAAACTATAGTTACGGGGACGAAAAGTCATATCAGTCATATCAGTCATATATCAGTCATATCAGCAAGATTTATATCCGTTAGTCTAGATTTTAGAATAGAAGAATTCTAGATTTTAGAATAGAAAATTCTAGATTTTAGAAAAATAAACTTATTTTCAACGCATTGTAACTGACTGTCTTTCTAAAAAGTCCAACCAAATTATTATTAACATTAAGAAATATATTGAAAAACAAACTGCTGGGACTGCTGTATAAAATTAACAATGTGAAAAGAACAGAGAAGTAAACAGAAACCTATGTAATAATTGTCGTCTTCGTCTTCATTCATAAAAAGAAATAATAAAACTATATAAAAAGAAATACAAATCATAAAATTTTGTAAGAATAAATACGGCAACAATCATTCCACTGTTCTCTGTTACAGTTAGAACTCTGGAATAGAAAGACGACTGGTAGTGGTGGACTTCATGTATGATTATAAACAATAAACATTAAATTGACCAATTTCACTCAAAAGTTCATTTTTAAGCAACTTGTAAAACCTTTTTCACAACACAAACACATAAGATTGCCCGTCAGAACAATAATGCCTTCTACAGTGTTTTGGGTCCACTGTAGAAGAATTGATAGCTAACTATTGTAAAGTGGTAGATCGTATAAATATATATTATGCATATTAGGGAGACACACGATCGAATAAGTTCATTAAAGAATTTCTATTATCTTGAGTATAGTCGGACACACGAATGAATAAAAGTCATAAAATCAAAAGGTCTTTAGGTACTCTGGGTGATGTCAACCTTTAGTATAGAAATGCAATCACATTTTTGCTCTAACTTGTGGAAGTAGTTTTAGAAAATGTTTCGGATAGGTCGAGGTCAATTTCACACTTTGAGACAACAAATTTTGTACAGGCTGTATTTGGTTCTTCTAAAAAATGAGATAAAAAGCTGAACTTTTGAATGAAGCCTCAGATTTTGGTAATATAAACGGAACACAAACAAACTTTTGGGATAGGAGGTCATCGACCTCCATCAAAAATCAAGATTTTGCCAAAAAGCCGAAAACGACTTGCACCTGATTTAATACTCCGCGATCAACAGAAAATTGTCACAAATAGACCACCCTATCACCCAAAGAACCTATGTACCCCAAAAAATATTTTTAAACCGCCTTTGTTTGACCCTATCATATATATTTAGGATTCAGACTCAGATTGTAAAAAAGCAGTTGATGATCTTTTTGTTTGTCAGGTATATATAAATTATCAGCAAAAACGTATTAAAGCATCATATGTTGAGAGAATTTTTAAACTACAGTGAATCCCAGATATATAGATACATAGCAAGAGTTTTTTAAATGTCGTATTCTTAACCTATTGAAGATCAAATGCCGCGTAAAACGAGTTTAATATTTCCCTGAAATAAAAAAAAGTATTTTCTGCAGATTTATCAATAGCTATTATGACTCTCAACAAGGATATTTGGATACAAAGTTTTTTATGTTAACGGATGGCAAGTAATTCATTGAAATATTACTATGTATGATAATTGTACTTCAGTTCAGTTTAGACTATGTTACATGGGTTACCCGACTGAACTGGGGTATTTTATAAGGGGGGGGCGGGGTGCTTACCACAGGAAATTTTTTAAAGAATTAAATGCTAAAATATAATTTTCTTAGACATCATCATGTCCTTTGTACCATTTCCCCTAGTTCAGACTTCAAAATGTTCTCCTTTTATTCAATGACCTGAAACTATTTAGATTTGACTATTAGCAGCAATAAACTTTATCTTATCTTATCTTATGTTCAGGGTAGGGTCGCAGATGTGAAAAATATACTTTTCTAACTTGGTTTCCGAAAAAGTTAGATATTTTGGAATTCCTTTGAATTATTTAATCCTCAAGTTTAAATATTTCAAATTTCCAGGAAGTTTCATTGTAAGATATACTTTAGAAAAACAATTTAGAATAAAGTAGAATTCTTGAAACATGTTTTCATATTATCTCACACTGAAATACTAGATAGTGATTTATAGCCAGTGCTTAAATCTTACCATGTCCAATTCGCTTTAAACTGTTAATTTAGTCATTTTCAGATTTAAAATCAGATTATAATTTTTATCTTGATTTTGAACTTCATTAACTTTTTTATCATTATCTTCATTTTAATTTTTATTTGATCTTGATTTTGATCCTGATTTTGATCTTAATTTTGATCTTGATTTTGATCTTGATTTTGATCCTGATTTTGATCCTGGTTTTGATCTTGATTTTGATCTTGGTTTTGATCCTGATTTTGATCCTGGTTTTGATCTTAATTTTGATCTTGATTTTGATCTTGATTTTGATCTTGATTTTGATCTTGA